ATTCTAAGATGGGATAGCCCATGATATATTTGCACTTTCCAAATATTGTCTAATAGCAATCACTCAAGAGTTTCGGATATTGCTACAAAAGACTATATATCATATGAATCCGAGTCAAGATCTATATATGCTCCAGCCAATGCAGCTTCCTCCAATTCATCTATCAATTCATCATTCTCCCTCTCCTCATCAGACTCCCAGTCATTCTCAGAATCATACACAGCAGCTGTGCCATCAAGACAGCTTGGTTGATAATACATATTAGCAGCCTCAGCAAGGTCATTCGGGGTGGGGCCCCATGAGTCAGGCAATGGCCAAGCACAAGGGATAGGACGAACTCGAGATTGCCAATGCACAACAAGACCACTCAACAAGCGAGCACGGAGGTCGAAATGAAAGCAGAGATCTTCATTTTCTTCTAAATATACTATCAGTGTCACGGCAGTAGAATGTTGTACAAACTTACCTGCACGAGTGCGAGCCTCCTGCAAGGCATCCCACTCAGCCATCATCCACTCCTGGAGAACACAATGTTCTCGCATGATACGAGCCCTTTCCTCATTGCACCGGTCTACCTCAAGTTGAAACTTAATTGCTGCGCGCATATTTTCATCCGCTAGCCAGGCAGGTGGGGCCATGTCATTGCCGTCAAGTCCAACATCTTGCCAGATGTCATCATCTACGTCAAGCTGAAAGATACCAGTCGGAGAGATAGAATGAGGCGCTATCGCACCGGCAGGAGCCTCGCCTCGTCGAATTAAGTCAATTGGTTTACCACAGAGGTTGTTGTAAGTTGTGACGAGCTTTCGTATGGTAGGGTTGCGCCGTTGAATTGAAGCTTCTGCATGCACATGAAGCTTGTGCTCTAGATCAAAGATAATCACGGACATGTCAACATATTGAAACGAGCTACATACCATTTACTGTCTGACGGTACGACTGTTCAAACCTCTCAATTTCAAATTTGCGCTGGCGCAGACGTTCACGAAGGCGTGCCTTGACAGCTTGCGCATCAAGACGAATTTGAAGGAATATACTACGTCGGAGTTGTTGAAGATTGTTAAGTTGCCCGATGCCAAGGGATGCCTTCCATCGTCGCAGAGTATCAGCAACTTTGGACCGGTGGGTGCGTTCGTCTGCAAGTTGAAGGTTGAAGTCAACATTGTTAAGAGTGTTGCCAGCACAGAGCTGCATCTCAAGAGCATGAACGGAATCGTCCAGGTTACTGAGTGTTCGCTCGAGGGTCAAAATCTTCGATATTTGCTCGTCATTGTTGGTTTTTGATCTCCCTTTCTATTAATGTTAGGGAAATATGAAAATATAAAATAAAGCACGCACTGGATAATGGTTTCGTTTGGTGCTCGACCTGAGCCCTCCATTCCGGGCGTATATTAGCTTCATCTACAGAGAGTTGTCGAAGCGCATGTTCTGCACTGCTCTTCTTTGTCTGGCAACGAGTCCATCTGCGACTCAGCCACTCGCCAAATGTATCGAGATTTTTGCCATCAAGATGCCGAACTTGCGCATTCAGCACAAAAAGCCGTTGGTGGTACTATCTTAATGTTAGTCAGTCAAGGTATACGAATTAAGATACTTACCCCAGAGACCCGCAAGGGGGGGGATCAACATCTTGAGAGCGCTCCACAGGCGCTCACAGCCCTCTCCGTCAGAAAGTCCAAACCCTTCACATTTGCGAGGGTGATAAATAAGCTGACAAGGCCACTGATGTCCGTACGCGTGAAATACGGATATAGAAAAGATGATACGTGAGAGAATACCTTGCTCGAGAAGTTGGTATATAAGACAACTACGCTCGAGCTGACATGCAATATCATACAAGATACCGACGGTCATGGTTGGCGGAAGATGTTCGAAGAGCTTTTTAATAAGTGCAAGCGCATAATATTGTTTTTCACCTGCTGATGTCATATTGACCAACCATAAGACACAATCATGACGACAAAGTAAGGCCATGATTCCCGTATCGGCGAAGAAACGGGTGCTAGCTTTCTCTCGTTTTTCGTCGGCAGCAAGAAAAGATTCCCTGCAGGCATCCAATGTCGATACAGGGATGCGCATACCATCTTCGTACCCGTCTTCGTCGCCTTCCGGCTTCTTGCGTTTTGTTCCACGACCAGGTAGGGAGCCTCGACAGGCAAGTACGTGAGCTTCCATCCGTGCGACCTCTTCGTCCGAAATGAAAACTGATCGTGTTGGGTTTGGCGGATCTAGGCCATCGGCCCCATGTGAATTGGCTGACCGTTTCTGTGTGAAGCATGCATCGATGCATACATGGCAATATAGCCTGCAAAAACATCAGCACAGGGGAAAACATGGTAGGATCGACATACTTGAGACGCGAACCGTGATCCTTTTGCCAATCCTGCATTCCAAAACAAACTGGACAACGTGAACGGAGATAATCACTTGGTTGTGCGGGCAAGACTTCGTCCCCCAAAGAACGCGAAGGAAGATGTTGTGAAATGAGGCTGTATACGTGGTCTCCAGCATTCATCACAAGGACTGAGTACCAATGATACGCGTTACTGAAGCGGCGGCGAAGATTGTCCTGAAGATGCCAGAGTTAGCTTACTTCAAAAAAGAATCGTGCAGGCAGACCTTGGTAGAAAGTTTGTAACCCCGAGCTGTTAGAAAAACTTCCAATGCTTCACACCAGGCTGTTGTATTGGGGGTGATCCGTACAAAAAGAGTCCTAATGAGCTCTAGTACACGTAGGTCAACAGCAAGAGATGGAGCTATGGGTGCACATGCAAATAGCCCCAACTTAAGAAGTTGAAGGGGTGCGGGTGCGCAGGGGCAGCAGTCAATGTTCAAAACCTCTAAATCTGGACTATGGTCAATTCGAGCCACATAACAATATGGTGAGTTCGTACAATTGAAAAAAACACAAGTCACTTCTAAAGTCCTCCTGTGGCATGAAGCCGTACACTCGACAGGATCATTTTGAAGTGCAGGCCGATGACGGAGCGAAGAAGATTTGTATTGATATGTGAGGTATGGACCGATTAGCGAAGGAATCACTTCATTTGACCAGCGTTGCCACTGATTGAATTTTTTCTGCCGCCCATTGGAGCGGAGGGATTGGAAAAGAAGTGGACATTGTCATAAAACGAAGGCCTGTCCTGGTCATTTGGATCAGGAGGTGGGACATCAAGCCGAGGATTGGAATTGGAAGCAGTTTGTTGGGCGAAATACCGCCTACCCGGAAGTACTAGAACTGGAGGAGGACCTGGAAGATGAAATGCGTTGCTTCCTCGTGGTTTCCGGCGCTTCTTGACCATGGACGGTGTGATTAATATTTGCTGCGAATGACGACGGACAGGAGTTGCAGGAGTAGATGTTGAGGTGATATTCCGTGGATGTGGTCCTCCATCCATGGTAGATGTTTCTGATAGGCACAAAGCCTGCAAGAATATTGTGACTGACTCGAAGTCAGTCAACAAGCACAGAGGAACACGAAGTCCCAGTTCGTATGACCTATGTAGCAAAAATTAGTAGATACTAGCCTGGGAGGAGGATAATGGTCATGAACGCCAGTGATCAACAAACAGTGAATAGCACCGGAGCAACAAGTCAATAGAATTCACCAACAGAAATTGTACATGAAAGAACCACGCTGCGTAGCAACTCACATCAACGAACAAATACAGAAGCGAACAGAAGTGAGTGTAAATCGTCTATGGACCCGCGTAAAGTATATGAGGGACCACGGGGGGGGGCGACCTGTGTTGTCGTAAAATGATTGTACATAAAACAGGGCACATTGCTTCATGCGTTGCCACTTCTCTCCCTCGGGCATTGACTCGGTGAAAGGCTGTTTGAGATCTTGAGGAGCACCGTCCCATGCGATCAACACTTGACGAAAATTCTCGAAATATGGAAGAGCATCCTGGAAAGACTCAGCATTAAGTCCATCATTCCGAGTCGAAAAATCCTTATCCCACATGCTGAGGGCATGCTGGGGAAAAATTCCACGGAGCAACTCCATGCGACGCTTCTTCGCCTCCCGATCCAGCCGCATATGACCGGCAAGATGTTCATCGAGTTCCAGAAGGTCGTATCGGAAGCTTTGCTCGCAAATCTCGTATATGATCTGTTGAATGAGACGATGCGGCGGATTCTTGAGCGTCGCTGCTTCGATTTTCTGACCCCTCCATTGCAACATCTGGGATCCAGTCCAAAACTGGCGTAGGAGCGATAATTCATCTCCAAAGAACAGGTCGAGTTTGGCTTTGGACTTGCCAGTCTTGCCTGATGGCATCTGACCACTTGACAACGAGGGCTGTGGTGTTGTTGGCTGCGTGATCAATAGATCACGCCAGCTTTGGGACCGAGGGAGCGGAGATGGAGGCGACATATAAACATGCCTCAGCCACGACTCACGGCATGCCAACCAGTTAGCGAGATATTTCTTCAGAGACTGCGAGGAAAGGACGTTGACAAATAATCCAGGGTCGGGGAGCCTGTATCCCTCATCCATTCTTGCGTGGGTTGGCTTGACACGACTCAAATCTTTGTCCGCGTGAGTCATAGCCGATGCGAAGAAGGTGTTGATGTTGGGCATGAACGGGTGAGCCACGTCGCACCATTTGTCACGTCCAACTTGAGACTGGTTCTGGCGCAGAGCGGTCGGTTCATCTAGATAATTGTTAGATAAGAATGGTGAACCGAAATTAGACACTGCACTCACATACTGCGGACTTATTTTTCGTGGTCTTGGTGGGCGCTTTACCCGATGACGGCTCTCTGGAAGCTGCAAAGCAATTGACTTCGGTTTGATCCATAGGGATCTCTTCAAAAGTAAGGTACGGTTGACGAACCGCAGCCTGGCGTTGATGATCACTTGGACCCTTGTAACGGATATCGAAAGGTTGAGCGAAGTTCTTAATGGGATGGAGGTACATCCCAAACACAAGGTCGGCAGGAGTGAAGGGAATGACTTGGCGGATGTTAATCTTATCATCGACGAGCCTGACATCTCATATCAACCACACAGGTACACCAGCCTTGTGGAGCCTCAACGTGATAGTGGAGTCTTTGGTGAAGCACCCCATCCAAGTCTTGTTGACCCCGTGCGCTTTGTCCTCAAATTTCAACCGCAGCTCAAAGATCTCAAGGTAATCCATCATGCTCCATATCTCCAGAAATCGCCTCTGAAACTCGGCCAAGATCATCACAATATCTCGCCAAGCTCGCGTCTCTTTGAAGTGTTCAAAAACAGAGCGCAACCCGGTGACCCATCCAACAACCGCGTCTTGCTTGTTTTCTCGGAACAGCTTGTAGGAGCCGACGCGCTTGTTAGCCCGCTCGTACAGTCGAAATAGGTGATCACGGTGGGTGGACTTCAGCTTGCCAAAGACATGACCAGGAGATAGTGGCTCAAAATCGTCAGAAAAAGCTGGCGACCACCAAGCATACCACAGGTCAGTGCTAGGATCATGGAATTTGCGTCGTGGAATGGTAAAACTCCAGATGTAAGCGTCTGCGTACATTTGAGGCCACTGGAAAGGATCCATCGCCCAAAACTTCCCATCCGCCCTCGCTTGCACAATATCGGAGGGATTGTCGTATAGTTGGGGAACGAAAGTCATATTAGGCGAAGTGAAAACGAGTTGACCGTCATAGGCGAGAGAGCGTGCGTCTGTAGCTGTGATAGCATCTATATCAAAATTAGAGGAGGATCACAGGACAATCACCAAGGGCACTTACTGTCACCGTCGCGTAAGAATGGTTTAAATTCACGATGTATTGTCAGAGGCATCGTCAGAGGGACTGCGAATAACGAAAAGGTGACTATCCGATGAGAGTGAGTAATCGAGCGACGAACCAATAAAGGCACGGTAAGTGCAAGCTAAGAGGAATCTGAACGTGATGAAGGGTACTGTAACCGAAGTTAGAGTAGCGAGTGCTATTGCACAGTAACACGAAGTCACTGGAATAGTGTTGTCTACCGCAAAGGCAGAATAATCGACACCGGCGATGGGAGGAGAAGGAAGAGTTGGAAAGAGCAAAGGAAAAGGTAAAGGGTAAAGAGTAAAGTTAGTAAAGGCGCAAAGTTGTGATTACGCCCTGGGATAACCCAAATGGGCTTGTGACAAATGAGAATTGTGAAGTGACTCAGAACTTGTTGGAACATTCGCCAACCTCAGCCAACTACGCCGCCTTCCTCCTCTCTATTCCTGCACTCATCTACCCCTCGACTCCTCGTGAGCTGCCTTCGCGGTAGCTAACACTATCTGAAGTGACTTCGTGTCACTTCAGATACACTACACACAGTCTGACTTTGCGTCAACTTGTTGGAACATTCGCCAATCTCGGCCAACTACGCCGCCTTCCTCCTCTCTATTCCTAGTATCGCTTTACGACTCAAAGCGTTTCACAACGTCTTCCGGACCCAAGGATCGTCTTTGTGGCTTGAACTTGATTATCCACTTAACCTGATCAGTGTACGTCGTCCCCTCTGAGATAGCGAGCACCATGACGATTTCTAACTGCAATGCTGAACACAACTAGTACTTTTCTTTCCATTCCGTCCAATTCACATCAATATCCGCTGATGAGTAGCTGGGATCAGTGTTAGTGCCTCCTTCTATAATCCCTTGTGTTCTTTGACCTCATCAACAGCCAACTACGCTGCCTTCCTCCTCTCTATACCTGCACTCATCTACCCCTCGACTCCTCGTGAGCTGCCTTCGCGGTAGCTAACACTATCTGAAGTGACTTCGTGTCACTTCAGATACACTACACACAGTCTGACTTCGTGTTAGTACTGTTACGACCACTCAATCTTCCACCATCCTTCGATGTCCGGCTTACCATCTCGATTTGCTGTGACACCCTCATCAGTCTCTTAAGCTCCTACCTTTGCGATAGCAGATGTCGTTGGGTGCTAGTGTCGACGCTGTCTGGTAGCTAAGTCATAGTTTACTTTTCATCTTCCTGTACTTAACTCACTATTCCGTAATTGCTTTGGGTACTCTGCGCGCTACTTCAGGATGGCCTCGCCCGTTCCAAATGCGGTCTATGTGTCATATCTAGAGTATTGGAGTCTTCTGTCGAAGTTTGTTCGTCATCCAGCCGACGATCTTATGCATATAGTTCACCATAGGCGCCCTGTTCCTACCTTTAAAAACCGAGTATGCTCCAATTTTTCGCCATCAACTCTCTGTCACTCAGTCATTCTCACTACAGTATTTTCCTTCTCGTCTTGAGAATTTGCATGAAAACCGAGGTAGGTCCGAATTTCTCCATCACGTTGTCTGTTGTTCTAACTTACTCCTACATCAGCTTTTACTTGAATTCGCTGTTTGCGAGACTTCGTGTCTTGGCTGCTGAAAAGGACTTCGTGTTCTTCAAGCTCCTTGCTGTTGATATTTGAGGACTTCGTGTTCTTCAGGCTGCTTTCTGTTGTATTCATGTTCATAGATCTCTTTAGTCAATTTGTCAAGCTCCCTCTGCCATGCCTCCCAAAAAATCATCTTCCACCAAAAAGTGCGCTAACCCGCGGATGGAAACTCCTGTCATCGACTTCGTGATGCGTACCCGCAGTGGTGCGCCTATCAACCAACGCATGGTACGTTTATTTTTATTTTTATTTTATTTTATCACAAGACATTGATATTCGTCTTTGAAAGCTTCAGACTAAAACACTACCACCCGCCAAAAAAATCAAACCTACCCCCTTGCCGAGGGGGAACTCGTTCATGAGCTTCAACGACTACAGCGCCATCCTTGCCCGGCACGCGAAATCCTCCGTTGCTACCACAGAGCTGCACACTGACACTGAGTCTGATACCCAAGGTATGGGCGGGCATTCTACAAATCGAGTAACCACCCACTGACACGACTATTACAAAGACCACCCGAAGACTGATGACCTTGTCACGGACGATGAGGACAACAGTGAAGGACAAGCGGATGCTCACAAGGGCGATCCCAAAATTCATGGTATGTACCACCGTCTCCTATCAATCATTTTTCACTAACAGTCCTTGTTTCGTCTCCCAGAATCCTTACCCCCCTCTGATACTCCAGAGGATGAAAATTCTTCCTTGGATGGCGCCCCTTCCTCGGAGAACAACTACCCGTACCGAAATCGAGAAGCGAGGAGACGGGCTGAACACCGTGCAATGCTTGCTCAGCGTGATCCTTCCTCTTCGGAAGAGGAGTCTGACGAAGATGATGATGAATACAAAGAAGATCAAGAAGCCGACAAAGAAAAAGAAGAAGGCGACGACAACGACGACAACGACTTACCTGCGCCTCCATCAAAGACGAAATTGCCCCAGAAGCGCGCACCTCCAAAAGCTCTCCCCCCAAAATCCACAGTAACAGGGACTCCCCCATCCACCCAGGTACTCCAGGCTGCCATGCATGTGATGACGAAGTCGGTCGAGAAGAGTCCCGTCTCCAGTGCTCTGCCAAAAAGCTCCATGGCAATGGAGACTGATGACGACGACAATGACCTTCCCGTCACTTCTAGACCTGGGCGGCTGTGCCAGGAAGGCATAGACGACGCGCAGGAGCTCAGGCGCAAGACACTTCACGCTGCCAAGTTAATTGGTGACAAATATGGAAAATCTGCACGCACAATACTCATCGAGGCCGGGTTGTCTGTGAAACACTCCAGGGCCGAGACCCCATGGAATATGCACCAAGGATGGTACAAAGGAAAATATCCTCGAGAAACCGATGAAGGTGAATATTTATTTCATGTTGTGGTGCCCATACTGACCAATATCCTCTGGTAGAACTTAGTGATTGGAGAAAGAGACAGCGCGACCACTACTACAGCCTTGAAGACAGCGACCCGCTGTGGGATGACATACAAGCGCACTATGATGGTCACTTGGGCGGTGCTAGTAACAATCGATCGCGTGCCAGTATTGTTATGTCTACAAGGGACGCACTCGCTAAGCGTGTAAGTATTTTGACAGTACTTGTTTGTATTATGGCTTACTGTCGCAAAGTTTGCAGCTTATTCTCGCCTAGAAGGCATTGAGGTCATTGGCTGTGTCTTTGATTCGACTCCTGATGAGGCGGCCCGACAGGCCTCGGGTTTTGTCGCAGGCTCATCCACCTTCATGGATGTCATCAATGAATGCCAAGTGGACGCCCAACTTGCGTTAGATTGGATTATTACTGCAGCAAAGTACGTGGCTTGGAACTACTCTAAGTTTAATCTTACAATGTGTCCAGGGCAAAAAACTACCAGCTCGCAATGCCGCGGTTTGGGGGGGCATATGATATTTTGTTTTCGAAGCCTGGTGAAGCCCCACGGGACCGTTACCGACGTACAGTGGCTCAAAAAACTGTCCGCATGTTTTGACATTTTTCACTATCTATGATATTGTGTGAGAATGAACAAATTCCTCAAGGACATACTTATACCACATTGTAGTATGGCTTCAGGGCTTTTATTTGAGCCCTACACCGTGGGAATCGGCGGAGATATGGTGGAGATATAAGGCTTATAAAATGATGACTCATGTGGACAGTTTTTTGAGTGTATATTAAAACTATATAAATCATTATTTATGACACCATAAAAATCATGCCACTATTATATAAATTATAAAGTGGTGTCATTATGTTATTTTATGACTATATCTAACTATATAAACCAGAATATCTCATGTATCATAGTCATAATCACCATGAAAGCCATCTCCTCTGCTCAAAGAGATAATATCCTCTCTCTGTCTTATGCTGGCCTCTCTGCTCGCCAAATTTCCTCTAGAACTGGAATATGCAAGTCCACTGTGGCCAAGTTCATCAAAGAAAGCCACCCAGACAAGGAAAACTCTTGTGGAGGACGTCCATCCAAGCTTACCTCTACTGACAAAAGGGCTATTATCCAATATATCACTACAGGAAAGGCTGATAATGCTGTCCAAGCCACCCATTATATCAATTCCACCATCACTACCCCTGTCTCTTCACAAACTGTGAGGAATGTTCTCAAGGCAGCTCATCTCAAGGCAGTAACAAAGAAGAAAAAGCCTCTTCTCTCCATCAAACATAGGCAGAGAAGACTAGCCTTTGCCTTAGCTCATCAACACTGGACTGTAGAGGACTGGAAGCATGTTATATGGTCAGATGAGACCAAAATCAATAGGATTGGGTCAGATGGGAAGGTGTATGTATGGAAAAAGAAGGGAGATGGCCTAACAGACAGAGAGGTTAATGGGACTGTCAAGTTTGGAGGAGGTTCTTTAATGGTATGGGGCTGTATGGGATGGAATGGTGTGGGAATGCTTGCTGAGGTTGAGGGGAAGATGAATGCTGAGCAGTATGTGGACATTTTAAATGACCACTTGCTGCCTAGCTTGGCAGAATCAGGGATTGATGAAGAAGATATCATTTTCCAACAGGATAATGATCCCAAGCACACATCCAGAAGAGCTAGGGAATGGTTTGAAGAACATAACATCAATGTTCTTGACTGGCCAGCACAGTCTCCTGATGTCAATGTCATTGAACATCTCTGGGGAACACTCAAGAAAAAGCTTCAAGCCTATGAAAACCCCCCTAAAGGAGTATGGGAGCTTTGGGAGAGAGTAGCAGTGGAATGGGGGAAGATCACAGCTGAGGATTGCCAGAAATTAATTGAGAGTATGCCTAGAAGGATAGAGGCAGTAATTAAAGCCAAGGGAGGTCATACAAAATACTAGAATACCTGGTTATTACTGTAAAATACTTGAGTCAAAAAACTGTCCGCATGAGTCACCATTTTGTGAGCCTTGTATCTCCACCATATCTCCACTGATTCCCACGGTGTAGGGCTCAAATGAAAGCCCTGAAGCCATACTACAATGTGGTATAAGCATGTTTTTGAGGCATTTGTTTGTTCTCACACAATATTATAGATAGTGAAAAATGCCAAAACATACGGACGGTTTTTTGAGCCACTGTATCTGGCCGGTCATGGTGCTGGAGAAACTAGGTAAGCTCGACTTATTCCCATCCATGACTTGATTTTAATTCGATTCAACAGAACAATTCGGCTACAAAACGAAGTCTGTCCAGTGGTGGAAGTTACTCGACGTTGCATATCAGAACAAGTTTCAATTCGAACTCTGGCCTGACGAAGTTCCCCCAGTTGGCCCAGACTTCAACTACCACACCCTCAGCGCACAACATCTGAAGTTACTCGTCGTGCCTTACATCAAGCGCAGGGCTTTGCAATATTATGACGCCGAACTGAAGACTGAAGCTGAGAGCTTACTCGAACTTCGGCGCAAGCAAGGACGGAGCGAAAAAAACTCTTGATGATATCATTGACGAGTTGGACGTCGCTGTGTCTGAGATTGATATTGTTCCTTGGCCCAAAGGTACTTATTGCCCTGTTCATTTTTATGTCTAACATTGTTGCTTCAGATCACATCGAGCAATGTGAAAAAGACGACCCTAACATGTTTGATATTCCTTTGGTCACCAGCGCTTCCAATATCGTGCTCCGGAAACTCGCGGACTCCGAGAAATTCAAGCACTCCATCCCCCAAGGGTTGCTTCAAAAATACAAGGAAGCAACATCAGTACGTGGTTCGAATGTCGGCGTTCCTTCGGGAGGAAGGCAGCTTGGAGATACTACTCGGGATCGCCAGTCTCAACAACAGACCTCCGCTGCTCGTGAATATTCGATTGTTCGTGAGAACCACTACACTGATGATGGTCTGCCCCGTCCAGAACGCCGCCCATCGGCATTTCAGCAACAGAAGTCTCGCAAGCGACCACATGCAGAGGATTATGGCAAGTCCATGAATTACTTGCAGATTCTCTTCTAATCGAGTGTCCAGCAGATGAACAACTTGAATCTGAGGCTGATAGCTTGAATGCATCAGACTCTTGCATCACGAAGAAGTCGAAGGTAAGCTGAAGACTGATATCTTCTACCATTATCTCATTCAAGTTAATTTTCAGGTCGTACGTCATCGTGATGGTGCGCCGCATGTTGAATTGCCACCTCCACACTTTGTCCCTGCTCATCCTCGACCTCGACTTCAATCTCGACCTCGCCCTTGCCCTTGCCCTTGCCCTTGCCTTCGTGCACCTACACCTGACTACGAACTGCGTCAACACTGGGATGATGAGGTACAGCAGGTGTCTCCGCATCATCTTCATTCCTATGGGCATAATGTTGCCCATCATCATCGCCATGATTTTCCGGCTGCAGGCCCTTCGAGAGTGGTTGCAAGGGCACGTGAGAGATCCGATTATGACAGGAACACTCCGGCTCCTGGGTATGATTCATATGATCGTGATTTCGTTTACCGTGACTAATGTTTCATATCACTCGAACTATTGCGTATGTACTTGTGTATGATAGCTTGAATGACTATGTGTTTTGTGGTCCCAAACTGTGGTGCACAATGGGCACTCGAAAGATAATGTCAGCATCGAGGAGTTTTCATATGTGTAAATCTAGGCCATCATGGCCATCCCACTCAATAAATTAAGAATAATGAACTATCCCACTTATATATATATTGGGTTGCTGGGTCATCCCAAGGATCAATTGATGGTGAGTGGGCTATCCCTGGTGGTATGTTGAAGCTATATATATATGCAGTGGGCCAGCCCAGTGTCTATGTAATATGCGGTGGGCCATCCCAGGGCTCATATTGGGCTGGCCCATACGTATGTAAGGAGTGATGGGCTATCCCTAGTGGAATGTTGAAGATATATATATATGCAGTGGGCCAGCCCAGTGTCTATGTAATATGCGGTGGGCCAGCCCAGGGCTCGTATTGGGCTGACCCGTACTACATATGAATACCGATGGGCTACCCCGCTGTGTATAAGGGCTTGTATTGGGCTGACCCGTGCATATGAAATTAGTGATGGGCTATCCCACTGTGTATAATAGACTGTCCCTTGAATATTGAACAAGTAAGAAGCTAACCCATATCACACCTATCAGGCAGTTGGGTAAGAAGGGATAGTGGAGTACTAACATAAAAGTCCTGCACTTGGATATTGTATGAGGTTAGGCAACAAGAACAGGAGGGCTTGGTGATCTGGTCCGTGGAACAGGAGTGGTGATGGGTTGAAGCCCAAGGGCATTTAACGTATCGGTAGTTGTGCGTTCAAGATAAAGAATGTAGTTTCCATAGAAAATGGCCATGATGATGAGGAGGATGAGGACAACTAATAACCAGTGATTGATGAAATCATAGGTCAGGAAATCGAAAGATCGTTGGTGAACCATGGAATGTGCTGCTAAACTAGTGTCAGATTTGCAAGAGCAAGTCACCACTGGGAATATTACAATAAAAAATGAGTTAGGTAAAGTAGAGAGGCTTAGGAGTAAGTACTGACCCAGATGAGCAACCTAGTGAAATAGTAAAGAAAGGAGAGAGAACAATTGAAGGCCTAATACTGGATGAGGATGTTGCAAAATAGAATGTAGAAGAAAGAGAGAAGAAAAACTGTACAGAACTTTTATGGAATGTGGAAAAATAGTGACAAACAAGTAATAACATTTGGACTGGGCCAGCCTGCATCATGCATATGAGAGAGCCGGGTCAGCCCAGTCACCATATAAACCAGTGGTGGGCTAGCCCGCATCATGCGTAGGAGAGAGCCGGGTCGGCCCAGTCACCATATAAACCAGCGGTGGGCTAGCCCACATCATGTGTAGGAGAGAGCCGGGTCGGCCCAGTCACCATATAAACCAGCGGTGGGCTAGCCCGCATCATGCATAGGAGAGAGCCGGGCCAGCCCAGTCACCATATAAAACAGTGGTGGGCTAGCCCGCATCATGCATAGGAGAGAGCTGGGTCAGCCCAGTCACCATATAAACCAGTGGTGGGCTAGCCCGCATCATGCATAGGAGAGTGCCGGGTCGGCTCAGTCACCATATAAAAACAGTGGTGGGCTAGCCCGCATCATGCATAGGAGAGAGCCGGGTCAGCCCAGTCACCATATAAAACAGCGGTGGGCTAGCCTGCATCATGCATAGGAGAGTGCCGGGTCGGCCCAGTCACCATATAAACCAGCGGTGGGCTAGCCCGCATCATGCATAGGAGAGAGCTGGGTCAGCCCAGTCACCATATAAAACAGCGGTGGGCTATCCCGCATTGACCAGTCACTGTCTTTTTCTTTCCGCTTTTATGCTTACATCCAAAGTAATATGTGATGACACTTACTCCAATAAAACCTGGAGTATTGTGGTGCAGAGTATGTTCCAATTGTGCAAATTAACCAGATGGAGTGTAAAATATGTCAGTATCTGGAGTGAGGGCACAGTCAAGAAGGATTTCTAGGTCAAGGACCTCACCCGACTTACATTCTTCCCTCATCTTCAAAGACAACCCCCCCATCTACCACAAATTTATTCCCGCCTCCTCCAGCTGCTTTGAATTTTGTAGGTCAAGGACCTCACCTGACTTACATTCTTTCCCTCATCTTCCAAGACAACCCCCCCGTCTACCACAAATTTATTCCCGCCTCCTCCAACTGCTTTGAATTTTGTAGGTCAAGAACCTTACCCAACTTACATTCTTCCCTCATCTTCAAAGACAACCCCCCCGTCTACCACAAATTTCTTCCTGCCTCCTCCAGCTGCTTTGAATTTTGTAGGTCAAGGACCTCACCCGACTTACATTCTTCCCTCATCTTCCAAGACAACCCCCCCCGTCTACCACAAATTTATTCCCACCTCCTCCAACTGCTTTGGATTTTGTAGGTCAAGAACCTTACCCAACTTACATTCTTCCACATCTTCAAAGACAAGCCGCCCCCCCCCCCCCCTCGCCACATATTTCTTTTCACTTCCTCCATTCGTAGGTCAAGGACCTTATGAAGACAAACATTATACTCTAAGTGTCTAAATGTGTGGGTAATTTTTCATGAGAAATGACCCCTGACACCCCCTGTGTATTCATATAATAAAGTATCTAGGATGACCCAGATGGGTCATGGGACAGATCAAATACATTGGCCCAGCAGGCCCAGGCTTCGTGGGGAAAGTGTTGAATTGGCCCGGGATATAACCTGCATTGGCTGGGAATACCGCCTAAGATCATGCCTCTTAGGTGAGATTGTAAGCCAGAATATATGTACCTAAGAGGTACTTTAACAGGGGTGACTGAAGTGTCCAGATCATCTCAGCTTGCCAGTTGATGCAAGTGTGGGTGGGCGGTTCGCTGAGTTCCAGTAGTGATACAACATGAAATAGATTTGCCTACATATACGTCGTCTTATATATACTTCGAAACACCATAACTTCAAATAGCACGACGGATCCTCGACCTAATATCTCCTCCCTGCAGAACACTCGGCAAGCATTTCCCTACACAGTACTGCTAGTTGGTACGTGAATACACTCCTGGAAGACAATCGAAGTCATGCTAGTTTCTGCGTCGGAGTCCGCCACGAGCTTAGCGTGATATTCTCGAACGCTAAGGATGAGGCGTGGTCCCAGCACAAACATTTGCACGCCATAGAAAATTTGAAGAGCACCATAGAGTATCTGACCTCCTATAGGTTGTGAATTCTATAGAAATGGTGAGCAGTGGTTACAAGCAGATGTCGGCGACGGGTCGGCGCACCAAGAGTTCTGGAGAGAGAACACTAAGCTGGAGGCAAGAGACACAAACAAAGCTAACACGTGCGGAATTTGAGCAGAAAAAAATAGCCACATTCGCATTACAAGCTCACCTCGCAAAATAAAGCACGTGATATTTTACCAGCACTCTGAAACAGTCCCCGATTGTCGATCCTGTCGATAGGCCGAGTCGTCGCAGGTCACGGAAGTGTTTTACAGCAATCCAGACTGAAAGACACAGTGCGAGGACCTCCCAAACAGTGCCGAGCATCCATACCATTGAGGCCAGAAGCTGGGTCTCCCCCTCAAATCTATAACCGTATATATCTATGCCAGAGAGTATCAATTCCTCTGGTGTTTGCCCAATGAGCTGTGTTCTTCAAGTCAACATATAAAACTTACCCGCTACAATATGCTTGAGTGTTATTGCAGTGATTACTCCGCAGGCGATATTAACAGCCAGGAAGATAATAACAAGGAAGATAAGCATCATTCTAGATCTCTGATACATGGCATGTAATCGAGCAATCATGATTACTTGCATCGTGTTTTGGTCGAGTCAACATTAGCGAGGTATCGCAGCTGGGTAACTCACCGCCCAACATGGCAGCCACGACCACATCTGTCACATCTATTACATAGTTCACGATATTGCCTGAAACACCCAATTAGCGATGACCCTCATACTAGGATCAAACGCTCCGACTCACGTCTATTGAGTCATTATGTTGAGCCACATTCAATGTTCCGAATCTCACTTACCCCTACAAATGAGCATATTCATTGGATGGGGATGAGATGGTTGCGGAATACTTACTGCATCAGTCAGCGAAACCAATGGCATATCTATTGTGTGCCGCCGGTCAGAAGAATAAAACACAGCGCATATGAGACGTACGAAAAGTGTTGATACTAATCATGAGAGTTGAGGTATTAGCACCGCGCCAATCCGTTGGCTGCCAAAACATACATAGAATATGGTATTCCAATATAGCGTATCTAGATCATATTGGAGTCAGCACAACTGCCAATCATGCCATAGTATAACATGAGGTACGAACAACCAAATACAGCACAGTCATGAGAGACCAGCGTTGCCTCTGTCACCAATTAATTGTGTTTCTTCTGATATGGGACTCTGTCACTCGCCCAGATCAGATCAATCTATGACACCATTCTTAGCGACTTGGTTGCTCCGGCAACAACATCGACCTACCTCTTGTCCGAGTGTCAGTACTGGAGATATCATAAGAATGTCAGCAGTTTCTGAACAATGTCCTGCTTACCCCAATCATATATCACCATGAAACTGGCAGCAACTGCGAAATTGCAAGTCAAGTTTAGATCGAGACACCACCACCTAATATGACGAACCCATGCAATAGCTCAAAATAACATTCTCATTGATCGTCGGCCACCAACTGGAATCATTTGAGACTACAGTCATATTCGAGGGATGGGTGAAGCGACTGGGGAATGATTGGGTGAATAACAATAGCGTTCGTGCTAGATATACCACCGTTCACCGCTTGCATCGCCAAAATCGGCATGGTGATGGATAGTGTTTCCTGCCTCAAGCTAAAGACCCTTGATCAATTGATTGGGTGAATTGCGGTGCAAAATGAGGCAAAAAAAGGAAGAGCTCGATTGAAAACCAGTATTACGCATTGGACTACTTAAACACCAGGAACGGATCGCCCTTGCCATTCAAGGGTATTTCGTCTGACGTATCGTACTAAGCGGGACCCTGTTGTTTGTTCCAGTAAATAGAAGTGGTAACAGGGAAAAAAATGGAATCTGGTCTGAAACCATGTAGTCATTGATAAGCATTGATTTGACACAGGTCTAGGCGTGATGTGATCGCAACAAGCGTGTTTGTCGGACGTTCATCATGCTCAGCAATTTCATAGGCAGGTTACGAAAGTTGCCGACTCAATGTAGGGATTGAGGACATGAAGTCTGTACAGCAGCTCAAGATCGAGTACCGTCTCTCCTCCAAGTGGCTGAGCTGCGCCCTTCGAACATTTCCAGCTAGTCTGGCGCAAAGCCAAGATGTGGTCAGTGGAGCTGAATCATCTTCGGGTCAGAAGCAAGACACTGGCCTGCAGTCAAATTCAAGGTAAGTTGCAGGTGCTAGCGCAGGTAAGTCATGTGGCCTCCACTTCTACGGGCCTAGTTGCACATCATAATTGAAGTACTTTGTGTCAAAAAAGATCAGGTGGAGTATTCACTAATGTACATCCTTCAGAATCCTTATTCCACCTTCACAGGGTGCCAACGATACAAATCCGAAGTAGTCACATGTGGAAACATGCAGATAGTATCACATCTTCAGGCGATGAAGTAAGCATTCTATCCTCCATCGTCGCATGAACATCCTCAGCCTGGACGATGCAATCAGCGTGTCCTAGAGAATCTGCTGTACGAACGTTCCTGCACCGATCTGCCTTGAGCGCTTGAAATCTCCAAATATTGACAGGCATTTTCCATGGGCTTCTGAGTCGACATCTTGTTGTTTGAGAACGGGAAGCTCGATTGCCTCGGTCATTGTCTCGGCTGCGGAGTTCACGTGTAGGTCCATCCTGTGTCGCAGGTCAGTGTCATCGAATGTTAAACACACGAAAGCTATGATATACTTACCTGCGCGGCACACCCAATCACAGCGATGAGCCAAGGATTTAGCATTGCTCTCAACGGTAATGAAGGAGAAACGGAAACGAGCATCGAGAGCATCGCAAAATAACTTGTCGAAGGGGTCGTAGAATATGCACGTATGAGAGATGACAAAGCAAAGATGTGATTGATGTTCAGAGAAGGTACATTGATGGTTGTTGGACGTGTTGTCGCTATAAGCACGAAATGGCCGCTGTGCTTTGCAAATAAACGGGTTGTGAACAACGAATCACAGCTCGATCGCCACACCGAATGGACAGTTAGGGGCGAGGAGATAGAATCTTAGCGATGGTGTAGCTAGGTAACTGGGAGACCTGGCAGGGCCAATTTCGCTGCGGTGGCAGGCACATTGAGGCTTGCTTGCTGAAATTGCATGTTGGTCGCTGGCAGTGTTCAGTTGTTTATGCTGATACTTAGTCCAAGAGAAACTTGAAGAACCGACCGTTTTGAAGCAGGAGGCTCAAGAGTCAAGAGTCAAGAGTCAAGACGCACACTGGACGCAAATATTGAAGCTTTAGATTCGTGTAAATTCAATCCAAGATACGTGGTGCCACGTTCGGTGTTTGCCGAGAGTCGAAAAATGTCAAAGCACTAGGTGCTCACTGCTAGCCGTGCTCTGTAATATTAGTTGCTATACCTGAAAGGCCGTTCCGGAACTAGTACTCACACCTGTGCCAGTCCTCTCTTGTTGCCTCACTCGCATCGATTAAGGAGGACGAGAATCTGAACTAGACACGCGCACGAAGCTCGACGGACAGGCGACTATCATGATACCATCGAAACTGGAAGGAACGACCATCTTCCATCTAAGTTATAGGAGGCTAGAGTGTTACTCCCGATACCTTTGACAGATCCTCTAGGCACGGCCTTCCTCGTGCTCAAGGACATTCTACCATTAAGTCTACTGCAGCTGCCAATTCTACGATCATTAGCAGTTATTCGTTCTTCGTGCTCAGACAGATGATTACTGAGGAATTGTTGATACATGCAATCCCCAGATTATCAGCTGTCTGCAGCTCAGACACGCTACTTCTGCTTTCCTTGGTCTATGGGATCTGCATCGCGCCCTATCTGAACAGCCCAGATGATTACTGTAAGGCTTCCCAAATGGGCTATCTAGGTGCACTTGCGCGTCACGCCAAGAGCGGCAGTAGACATTTCGAATCACATCATCTGGCATCTTCACTGGCTGGAGCTACCGCTCCAACGCGTCATTGAAATGGTTGCGCCATAGGCTGCGTCAGCGATGTAGTGAGCATCAGGCTTACAATACTCCCCCGCAATTTAGACTAAATCGTTATCACCCCATTCTTGTCCCCTAACCATGACACAATTGCTGCAACGGTCATCAGATCCGTTACCTGCTTTACGGGGCTGGCATCCAGGAGAACAAGCCGTTCAGGCAATCATCCACCTCCCTGAGTGCGTTGAAATCACAGCAATTGTGGATAGGTTGCCCGAGCAACATCGCATTTTCCACACAAGCCGACTACATTTCTTGCCAGTCACTACTCTGGACCAGCAAGGGAGACCGTGGGCATCTATTCTTTACTCAAATGATGGGATGCCAGGTTTTATCTCATCCCCTACGGATGCTTTGCTAACGATCAAAGCGCGTCTATGGCCTGGAGATCCAATTATTCAAAACTGCTCCCAGCTTCATGATGGAAAACCACTTTTTTCTGGGATCGGGCTCGAGGTTTCGACCAGGAGGAGGAACAAATTCTCTGGCTATATATCCAATGTTGCATTGAGAGATTTGGACGTCGATCTTACTGTCATAGTTACTCAAGCCCTGGGGTGAGCTGCCGCGGTTTCTTTGTGCTGTGACTCTGTCTCACAAACTGTAGATTGTGTCCGAAATACATCAATATCAGGTCGATTATGCCATTCCACGGGGCGTCGCCGCGCCTCATCTATGAGCGGTTTGGCCTAGAGGGATGGGGAGCGCCTGCCTGATGATGTCATCGCATTCATTCATGCAGCTGATACAGCTTTCTTGTCCACGTCCTACGTGGCCGCCCAGGAGGATGAAAACATTTATCCTTCTCGAGTTGGCGTCAATCATAGAGGGGGTCGTCCTGGATTCGTTCGAGTTAGACCTTCCGATGGGAAGACTCTCGTGCTCCCAAATTATGCCGGTGAGAAGAACGATACACCGCAGGGCGAGTCTAGTATTTATATATAATACACAGGGAATCGCATGATGAACTCACTGGGCGATATACACATCACGCCAGTTGCTGGAATCGTTTTCCCCTCGTTTTCCACTGGATCAATCTTGTATCTTACCGGGAAAGCTGAGACCCTGTATGGCGCATCTGCGCGAGCAGTGATGCCAAATATGAATATCATCTCCACCATCTACGTCACTGGATTTTCCTTTGTCGAAAACGCCATTCCGTTGAGGGAGACAGGGCCAGCGGAACGTAGCCCCTACAGCCCACCTGTCTGCTACTTAACGGAAGAAAAGCCACCATCTGTATCATTCGCGGACATTACACTTAGCCTCATAAAGACGCGAGTGCATGATGACACTCTCATCACCCTCACTTTCGAGTCATCACGACCTGTGGATATCCATCCAGGCCAAAACTGCGTGCTAGAGTTGACGGAGTTCCTGCGCAAACGCTCACACGAGCTGTTAGACTGGGAGGAAGATGAGAGCACAGTTAACGACGACTGTGTCCGTACTTGGACGGTCTCCAAGCTTCCAACTTCAGATACACCTTGCATCCTCTCTATCACAATGAGAGCGATCAAAGGCGGTCTTATCACTCCAATTTTATATCAGCTTGCTAGGAGTGTTGATCCGCAGCTGACTGGAGCACACATTGATGTCGCAGACCTGAAAGTCTGCGCTCCACTGCGAGGTGTCGGAGGCGATCTTCCTGTCCCGGAGCCTTTATTAGCATGCGACGGTGGGCGACAGTTGCTGTGGATTGCTGGTGGGATTGGCCTCACGCCTTTCCTAAGCTTGACTCGTCATGTTACAAACCTCGCTGCCCGGGGATTCGGAGTCTGGGACGTGACGCTCGTCCTTTCAACGCGGGAGCCGGAAGTTATGCTCAGCTTGATTCAAGAAGCGTTTGTGAACATGTCATCCAGCAAAGTGGACGACCTCCAGTCGCCTCCTGACCTTGCATTCTCCATTCATGTCTACTCCCCAAGGTTCCAGTTATCTGAGTCTTTTCCGCCGTTCGTCTCCCTAATCCCGCATGAAGGCCGCCTTGACGACAGTGGAGCTCTTTTTGGCAGTGTAGCCGCAAAGTTTCGGGAGCCGCATATATGCGGTCCGTTGCCTTTCGTTAGCAATGCTATGAAGTCACTCCAAGCTGCTGGAGTGGATCCAGAGTGCGTAAAGCGAGAGAGATTCACGTATTGATAAAGAGGCTGAGCAGATCAAGCTGTATAACAGGACGGTAGTTACCTTTCAGTGGGGCCAAGAAATATAGGGGGTCTTGTTTATGAATTAGCATTTTCAGAACGACAGACTAGAACGAATATGGCGTAAACTGCGGTGCGGGGTACAGCACGAGGGAAGCCGCAAAGATTCGTAGGGGGCATGGGAAATTTGTGACATCAAATACTGTATGAAATTGATCCATAGACCACTCGAGCCGGTGTTCCAGAGCTTGCGTGGAACTGCCTATGGCATTCGAGTAACACTGATCAACTGGAATGAAATGGTTTCCCCAGTGGTCAGACACTGCTCGCCACGATCAACAGCAAGCACGCACGAAGACACAGGAAGTCGCCGCTCTGGGCCGGCTCTGCGACAGAAACTGTTCGACTGAATTAGACCGATCAACACGTACAATCCTATTCAAGTGCGAGGGATCGTGAGATGGATAATATTAGAATGCAGCAACGGTGCAGCGTCGCCCATTGCGAAAGCACGCGCCCATAATATTTTAATAGTTGAAAATGAACTTACTTCTCATACATGAAGCAGTAGTGGGAGGGGGCCAGCAACGTTCTCAAGATTTACAACATGTCAACTGAAAATTGCTTGGATAGTCCTACAAATCATGCTTAGATCGAATGTTAATTTCTCCAGTTAATACGGACTCGAGCTCAATTCACAAGAAATTCCTGCACCGTTTCCGAGTCAGCGGGACGAATGATTGCGAACGAAAGTTAAACCATACCTGCTCGAGTTGAGTGATTAGAGGGATCTTGCACCAACACTCAAGGTACCCGGAGTGGTGGCCTTAACTGCCTCCAACTTATTCATTTCTTCCATCCAATTCAGCATTCTTGGAGAAAGCAATTCGCCCTCCGGGATTGCTTTAAGGTCTGCAAGCAGGGGGAACAAAAAGAAGTCCGCCCAGCTCAGTTTGCTTCCGAACACATAGCCCTCGTCTGCCATTAGTTCTTCAATCTTACCAAGCAATCTCCTAAGATGCTCTACAGCTGGTTTGATTTGTTCGCGAATCTCTGAATCTGTAAGTTGGCCTGCGTCGGTGGCAGCCACACGGGGTTTCACGACCCCTTTCTCAACAGCAGGGAGACCTGAAGCATGAAATTAATATCATAGGTTCGATGTGTCTGACTGAAATTTCAAGTTTACCATGTGCTCCGGCAAGACTCACAAACTCCCACATCTGTTCCTCGATGATGGCCTTCCCGTCACCCGGGGAAATATGCAAGCTGGGTTCTGGTGCAACCTTGTCAATGTAGCGCGCGATGGCCGCGCTCTCGTGCAACTTCAGATTGACTGTCTTGCCATCAATTTCGTGGATGATCAGGGTGGGCAGAAACCCAAATGGATGGTTGTCATATGCTGTGTCCGAGTGTGGAGCACAACTAACTTGAGTGAAGGGTATCCTCTTGTAAGTCAATCCGAGAGTGATAGATCGAGTGAAGGTGCTGAATGGCATCCCGATGATAGTGTAGATAGGTGGGGTCATGGTTGATGTTCAAGTGATCGATGGCACTACTCAGCTGACTTTAATCACTCCAGTCAATAACGGCTAGTTACTTAGTGTCCACTGGCAGAAGCTCGAATCGGAGTCTCGAACATGACAGTAAGTCCGATGACGGTGAGATGGAGCTCAAGATATTATCCCCTACGTAGGGGTCTATTCCTGAGTGGCGATTTTCGTGACTTACCGTAAATCACG